ATCGCTGCTTCAATAAACTTTCAAAATCACAGAGATCATAGATAACACATCTGTTTATATGTATCTAGATTTCTAGAAAAGTAACTCAAATCGTTCGCGCCATATGATAGCTTAATTGTAACTTTCTTGAGTGGTAACACAAGAGCTATAGTCCATTTTGGAAGTAATAATGCACAACTTGTAATGTCACAGATAAATGGTTCCTACTCTCCACTCAGCTTCGAGCTGTAATATTGATAAATGATAAAATAAAGTGTGTTTGCAGTTCTTATAAATTAGCTACACATACACAACATGTCTTAGCTGATAATTCTCTGTAAATCTTGAGTTTATTGTAAGCACGATTAGTCTAATTACATTACTATGGACTATTGTACAGGTATCGCATAACGCGCTGTACTTAAGCGGCAGCGGTGTTGATCCATTTTGGAAACAACCATGCGGCAGCGATTCACGTGACCCGATTTTTCTCGCGACTCGTCAATGGCCGCAACTCTCTGTATATAGAGACTCTAGTCATAGGTATGCTGGCACAGCGATAAATATATTATAATTATGTCACAAAATATTCAAAATTCGGACCAAAGTTCATAGCGAAGTAATAAATTACAAGCGAATATAATAGAGTAGAAAATGGTCTAAAATGTAGTAAAATATGTGGTATAAAATATAATAAAAAATATAGTGACCACTTGCAGAGAAATCAGTGGTCCACATATTACATTCTACTAATTTAACTGAATTGATTAGGTATTCGAGGACTTCTATAACAAAACCTACTACGATCGTACTGGTGAGCCGATGAAGATGGCATGCTCAATTTTCTCTGGTCATTCTCTGTCGCGGAACGGCGGCAGGTGGGCGTTTTGTCGCGGCATGAGCCCTGCGTTTATGACGGACAAGTTGGGCAGGTTAGCGCCTATGAAAACAGTGAGGGATACCATACTGTAGCATAGGTAGAGTGTTTGAGCCTTTCCACATAAAAAACGTTTTGTTGAACATCTAACTAGAGTAGAAGGGTACATTCTCACTAGTGGCTTAACATGAATGAATAATGCCTATTTCGCAACATCTAAGTTTATTGAATAAATATAAGGTGCCTTAATTGTCTATCCGCCAAACTTCTATTTCAAAGACAATTTCTTCTGTCTCTCGCTCTCTCTGTTATTCTTCTCTCTCTCTCTCTCTCTCTCTCTCTCTCTTTCTCTTTCTCTCTCTATCTGTCTATGTCTCTCTATCGCGCTCTCTCTCGTGCTCTCTCTCTCTCTCTCTCTAATTGTATTACTAATACTAGCTAATACTAAGCTGTTTCCGTTTAGCGACTTGCTATAACTTATAACTTTTTGCATACGATGAATGCAGACATAAAAAATGAAAGGCTCACGCTACCATTGCAGGTTATTTACTACTCCACGTCTATATTCATAACGGCTGGCTTAGATGAGACCAGCGCCGCCTATGCTACGATAGGCCTAGGCACTGTCAACATGCTGTCGACGTTTGTGTCCGTCTACCTCGTCGAACGATCGGGTCGCAGGTGCGTGCCTCTGTGACGTTACGTCACTGCCTCTGTGCCGATACGTCAGTGTCTCTGTGACGTCACGTCACTGCCTCCGTGACGTTACGTCACTGCCTCCATGACGTTACGTCAGTGTCACTGTGATGTCACGTCACTGCCTCTGTGACGTTACGCCAGTGTCTCTGTGACGTTACGTCACTGTTTCTGTGACGTTACGTTAGCGTCTCTGTGACATTACGTCACTGCCGCCGTGGCGTTACGTCACTGCCTCCGTGACGTTACGTCACTGCCTCCGTGACGTTACGTCAGTGTCTCTGTGATGTCACATCAGTGTCTTTGTGACGTTACGGCAGAGTCTCTGTGACGTTACGTCACTGTCTCTGTGACATTACGTCAGCGTTTCTGTGACGTTACGTCAGCGTCTCTGTGACGTTACGTCAGTGTCTCTGTGACGTTACGTCACTGCCTCTGTGACGTTACGTTAGTGTTACTGTAATGTCACGTCACTGCCTCTGTGACGGTACTTCAGCGTCTCTGTGACGTTACGTCAATGTCTCTGTGACGTTACGTCAGTGTCACTGTGATGTCACGTCACTGTCTCTGTGACATTACGTAAGTGTCTCTGTGACGTTACGTCACTGCCTCTGTGACGTTACGCCACTGCCTCTGTGACATTACGTCACTGCTTCCGTGACGTACGTCAGTGTCACTGTGATGTCACGTCACTGCCTCTGTGACGTTACGTAAGTGTCTCTGTGACGTTACGTCAGTATCTCTGTGACGTCACGTCGCTGTCTCTGTGATCTTACGCCAGTGTCTGTGTGACGTTACGTCACTGCCTCTGTGACGTTACGTTAGTGTCTCTATGATGTCACGTCACTGCCTCTGTGACGTTACGTCACTGCCTCTGTGATGTTACTTCACTGCCGCTGTGACGTTACGGCAGTGTCACTGTGACGTTACGCCAGTGTCTCTGTGACGTTACGGCAGTGTCTCTGTGATGTTACGTCAGTGTCTCTGTGATGTCACGTCACTGTCGCTGCGCCGTTACGTCACTGTAGTTGAGGTGTTACGTCACTGTCTTTGTGACGTTATGACGCGGTCGTTAAGGAGTTACGACGCTGACACCGCGGCTTTGCGTCAATAGATATAACGATTACATGTCAGGTGTCAAATGGCAGGAGACTTCCGGGGTACATTTCCCTTTATTGTACGCCGGAAAGTGTTCAAAGAAACAATATCGTCGTGCGATTGTTTATGTGCGATCTGAAAATTTGCGTCAGAATTTTAACGTTGCGCGATGAAAGCGTTTGGAATTGCTTTTCCTGCAGACGCCTGTTCATCGGAGCACTTAGTGTGAATTTAGTCCTACTCATCGTTCTTACGACTGCTCTTCAGCTTCAGGTAATAAGTGTGCGACTAGGATTCAGGATTTAACCCAATTTATCACAGATACGTCTGTGGTATCTAGATTTCAATAAGGAATCAATTTTTGTAAACTTGCATTTAATATTAGCTCGTAGTATATAACGTTCTATATAGTAACTTAGACATATTCCGCATAATTTGTCTACAGGACAACATTGCGTTCTTCCAATGGGTCAGCATAGTTTCGTTGTTCCTGTTTATTGGATTCTTCGCACTCGGTCCAGGTTCGTTAGTCCGGTTTATTATCGAAATCTCCTATAATATTTTTAATCTTACTAGATAATAAATAAACAAATAAATAAAGAACTAAATAAATAAATGATGTAAAATATACATATATATATATAAATATGTATAATTATGTATGCATGTGTGTGTGTGTGTGTGTGTGTGTGTGTGTGTGTGTGTGTGTGTGTGTGTGTGTGCGCGCGCGCGTGTGTGT